TGTCCCTTCCTAAAGCTCTGTTCCTTCTTGGACCCACAAGCACCAAAGCTGTCCCGGCTCTGGTTGGGGTCCTCCGAGGAGCAATTTGTGTTGAAGTACTTGGGGAGGACACCATGGCATGAGCACAGATGCTGCCTGAAACCCAACCAGCTGCTTCACTGTGTAGGACCAAGGAGCTGGTCCAGAATTCAACCAAGAGCTGTTGGCCCCCAAGTCCAGGCCATTGACAGTCAGGTAAAGCAATTTAGCTCATATTATGGCAGGACAGGTCATCTTTTTTTGTCCTGCTGTGAAGGGCAGCTAAATAAATTCTTGAATTCACTAAAAACTCCAGCAGTGAGTTTCTGAGCAGCTGGCCTCACTCAAGGAAGCTGCTGGCCCAGTCTGCAAATGGATCTTCTTGTCGGGATGCAGTCCTACAACCACCAAACCCAGAGGCCAGACCCCCGTGGGAAGATGGGGAAGCAGGCCCACTGCTCTGCATTTGGTGCTTGTTAGTATTTGGATGAGGTAAGTGGTGTGCTGAATCTAGTGCAGCAATTGTGTTTGTTATAGGGCAATAACTCTGCAGAGGTACCATGAAATTCAACACAGCCTGTGTGGAATGTAGGCTGATGCAGAGACAGGGCAGCAAACCCTTGGCAGGAAAACATCCTGTTGTACTGGGGTGAAACTTTGAATCACAAGGGTGATATGAATGAAGAAGGGACAGACAAAGGTGCTTTACCTGCCAGCTCAGGTGAGGTGTGATGCCTGACTGCCCCTGCCTGCCTGTCCCTGGGAACTGCCACAGCCCATTCCCAGTGGCAGGGGCTCCAGTTCCTGCAGTGGCACTCAGCTGCTCTCAATCCTCCCTGGCCTTTCAAAGGGGAAGCTGCTTGCTGGAGGGAGCAGGGTAAGTGCAAGAGGAAAAAAGAAGTGATTTTCTCCCTGCTCGTGCCGGCGGCGGGGGCGGTTACTGTGTGAGCAAGGCTTGCAGCGCCGGCTCATTCAGCACGGCGGTGTCTGTGTGCCCAGACCCCGGGCACAGCGGGCTCTGTGCTCTTGAGGTCAGCTTGAAAAGCTGCTCAAAGCCCACGGATGGTCCCTGAGCTTTGCATCCGGCCTCAGATACTCTGCTAAATACTTGCAAAATGGCTCGTGGGGCCACACTGGGCAGCGTGGCAGCTGTGAGCTGCTGGGGGAGCAGCTGGGTGATGTTGGGGGATGATGACACCCCAATTCCATAGAGTAGATCAAACTGGCACTGAGGGGTGATCAGTGGCACCACATTCGAGTGGGGCTGGATGCTCCTCTGAGCAGTGTGTGCTGCTTGTGGTGCTTGTACCAGGTTGCCTGTAAACCTGCAGCACCTGAAGAGCAGCATCACATCCCAGACTCATTTTCCTTCAAAGGTGGAAAAGAAGAGAGCACATTTTCTCCTCCAAACCAGAAGTAAAGCTGGACTCCCTTTCCTCCCCAAAGCACCCAGTTTTGGTCCCTAAACTGCTCTGCATTACCAAGCATCTCAGCTCACTCCCATCATCCACCACCCTGGATCCCTGTTGCAGTCAAGCTGGCCAGTGGATTCAGCTGCTTGTGCTCCAGAACAGCACAATAAAACATCCAGAAAGCAATTTTTTCATTTCCTCATTCTTCCCCACAGCTGCCTGCAAGCCCTGTGCTGTGCTTGGCCGCAAGAGGTTCCCCGGGGCTCACAGGGTTGGGCTGCATAGGGCAGAAAGAGGGGTCTTTAACTCCCCCCAGTGCCAAAAGGCACCTTTGTGGCCCTGCTGCTCCTGTCCCCAGGTTATGCACTGGTATGATTCGACAGCAGATGACAGAGGTTAGGATAAGGCCTGGGATGGCTGGGATACTGTTGCCATGGAAATCACCCGGTGTCTGGAATAGCAAGAACAAGAGCAACTCAAAAAGTAATGATCTGTCACATTGATTAAGGAGGAGTCGGAGGGATTTTGTTTGGGGAAAGCCTTGTGCTTCAACTAATATGAATCCATATGCCACATCTCTCTGTTTGCTTTCCCCTGAAGGGCTCTGTCAACAGGAAATCATCTGATTTGTGTTGACCGGGGGTTTCTCCAGGGAGTACCGATGCCGTTCCCGCCCGTCAGCTGCGCTGCACAGCTCTGCCATCCCAGGATGAAAGGCACCAAGTCAATGCAATATTCATTCACTTCCTCTTCCCTCCTTCATTCATTTCTTCATCCATTCATCTGCTTCATTCACATTTCCCCGGCACTTTAATGAGCAGTGCTTAGCCCCTGCAGCCTGCAGAGCCTTCCCCGGTACGCTCTGTGCTGCAGATGGCTGCAGGCTCGTTTATGTGGCAGGGCAAAGCTCGGCGTGGCTGCAGTGGGGCTGTGCTGTGCCCAGCTGGCACCTGGATCTTTTAACCCCCCCTGCAATTCCCCCACCAGGTTTTTCCTATTCCATCTTTCACATCTTGGTGATTTATCTCTGCTGTGATTCCCATCTCATTCAGGTCCTGTCCTCTCTGTGGGAGCCCATCCCCGTGCGGATGCCTCTGCCCATGGCAGCCCCCCTGGGGGCAGGGGGTGGCTTGGCAGGAGGTGGCAGGAGGTGGCAGGTGGCATCGCTGGGCAAGCAGGAGGGAGCCAAGTGTGAAATGGGCATCACTGGAGTGCTGGTGCCAGGCACTTGGTGCTGAGCCAGAGCCACGAGCATAAACATCCTCAGGGCTGTGTCACCGTCCACCTGCCCCACCACACCAATGCCTTTGTGGCACTTGAGGAGCCTGGGGGAATTTCTTTTTTTTCTCTGCCTGGTGTCCTCCTCTCAGAGACCAATTCATCGGAGACAGGTGGGTGATAGTCCCTGTGTGAGCTCCAAGCTTGGCCCAGGGGAGCAGAGCCGTGGGCCAGCAGTTACAGGGCAAGCAGCCAGACCCCCAGTGTGAGCAGCTTGGGCAATGAGGGCTCACAGCCATGGGCAGGAGCAGGAGGCACATGCACCAGGCACAGGCAAGTCCCTGGTTTTAGGGATTTTCCTCAGATAAGCATGGCTCAACCCTCCTGTTGCCCAGTTTTGGGCACTCGCAGGGCATAGATGGGGGGGAACAAGCACGTCTGTACTTCAATGCCCTTTTTTAACCAACCCAGAACAGGTTTGCTATTTTTTTCCCCACTGATATGCAAACATTTCTCTTGAAGAAAATAAAATGCTGGGTAGAAACCCAAGAAAGATTAAAAGGAGAAAACTAATTTTCCTGCCTGTGATCTCACGGGTGGAAAACAATCCCTTCCTCCCCCAGCCCGAAACCCGCCTTGCTGTGCTTGCGTGTGAGCTGTGTTCCTTCGCTCTCCAAACAGCCAAGTGCATCCCCGAGCTGAAGGAAGCAAACAGAAAACATCCGTTGTTTGTATAATGGAGAAAGCTTTCTCTTTTGTTCCCTGCTTTTTATCAAGTATCTGCTGCCATTATTGTTACTCACTGGGTTATTACCTCCGAGTGGCTACTTCCACCAGCACAAGCTGGTTTATTGTCTGCTCAGAGCAATTATGGATTGGGATAATTCCTGCCATGCTGTTTCATTGTGGAAGGATCCGCTGTGCTCTGTGGCCAAGGTAACTTGAGGTGATTTGTGCTGCTGAGTTACCCATCAAGTTAATTAGGAGTGGGTGGCTGGTGCCCCACTGTATGCTGGGACAGAAGGAGCAGCAGAGGCTGAACCCAGGCATATTCTCAGTGTGAGAGATATTCAAAGGCAAGTTTGTTCACTGGAGCAGAGACCAGGTTGGCTATTTTTCTAGGCCTAGTTCATCTTTATTCACTGGTCAACAGAATGTTGGCCAGCACATCCTCCCTCTGAGGGTGCAGAACCCCATTGCTCTGTGTGTGCAGAGGACAGGAGTGTCCCTGCAGGACTTGCAGTCCTAGTGGAAGACACTTGGTGTCTTGTTCATTGCTTGTCTAGGAGGTCATTTTGTTCTTCATCCTGTGCTGCAAAGACAAGATGAGGAAAGTGTTCCTTGGGCTGCATGGGATTTCCCCTTAGGAACTGCCTCACCTGCCTGGTTGGAGAGGAGAAATAAAATGAAAATGCTTCTCTGAAGTATGAAATCCAGACCTGCTGGGCCTCGTGCATCTGTGGAGATCAGAGCCCCAGTGCTGTCGTGCTGCCTCTTTGAACCAGGGGGAGTTTCACCCCAGGCAGGAACATACACCTGGCTTCATGGCAGAGGGCTCAGCCTGCAGGTTGCAAAAGTACCTGGTTATTTTTACTCCTTTGATACCTGATCCACTATCAAAATAACTTATTTCTTTCTCTTTTACTTCCTAGGAATCCGAAAAAACTTGCCAGGGGCAATAACATTTATTGGTGAGGCACGCCAAACCCCCCGTGTTGTCCATGCACAAAAGGGGTTGGGGTCATCCCCTGCACAGCCCCCCAGCCTTGGCATAGGGTTTCTCCTGAAGATGTGAGAGTTTTGTCCTTCAAGAGCAGCTGCATGGGTATTGCACTCCAGATACTCAGGGCAGTAACAATGTGTTTATACATTCACTTGCTAATAAATAAATACAAAAGTGTGACACTTTTAAGCACTTGCTAAGGCTGTAACAAACACGTTTTTTCCCACAGTCAGTAACCTGTGGATTAGGAAGCCATGATTTTTATTTATTTTTAATAGCACACCATGAGGACAGATTAGCATGAGACTATAATGCCATCACATGGTCTCAAAACCCTCTGTGCCAAGACCACATCCAAATTCAGCACAAGCAGCAGTGAGCCTTTCTAAGGAGGCTTGATGGTAAGAAGTGTTTTCTTTTGCTGTCTTAGAGACTGTAAGTAGCAGAGTTGAATTTCTGGAGTTGTATGTGTGCATAGAACATCAAAAATGGCATTGTTCAGTTATTCACCCCATTATTAAGCTTGGCCCTCCATATCCACCCGACACAGAGAAGCCCTGCTGGACCCACTTACCAGGGCTCCTCTTGGGTTTGATACTCAGCTCATACCCCAGGCCAGGTCAACATTTTGTCCATTTCCTAATATTTTCTTGAGCAAAGTATGGCCTCATGCTTGCTTTGCTATTCAGTCCTGGCCCATCTGGACTCTCAGATATCCCTTATGCAAGAAACTGATGCTTCAAACAGAACTGAATGTACACAAAGACTTCACCCCTTTCCTACCACAGGTTGGACCCCTGGAAATATCCTTTGGTGATGCAGGTGCCAGGAGACAGTAGGAAGCCACCTCTCCCCTGCTCCTCTTTGTTCTGTCTCTGGTTCAGCCAAGGCTCTAAGGGAAATCTATCCTGAAGTTTCAAAACAGTCTTCCTTGTGTTCTCCCTTGTCGCTCTGAGTTCCCAGAGCAAAGGGTGAACAGTGGTCATTTGTAGAGTGATCGGCCTTCAGCATCACAGTGACAGTATCTGGAGCCCTGGAGGACAGCCCTGCCTGCCTGTGGGAAGGCAGAGAGCAGGCAGGACCAGGCAACAGCTTTGATGCCATTCCTGCTGCCTCCTTTTTCCATCAGCCACGTGGGACAAGCTCCCCTTTTCTGCTCAAAAAAGTGCCTGGATCAAGGTTTCGCAGCTACTCTTACCTTTCCAGAGTGCACTAAGGTGTGACTGGTTTTCTCCAAAGGTAACTCAATGCCTGAGTGGATCATTAGGTTCCAGGATCGCTTGGGAGACACATGGAAGCCAACATCCACCTGCCAGCTGTAGATGGGCTCCATCCACTTCGAGGCAGCATCCAGACAGGCACCCAGCAGTGGCATCTTGTCAAGGGACTGGAGATCTCCATCAAATGGTAAGATAGTGGAAGTCTCCAGAGACTTTTCTTACATGAGGTTGATGTCTTACATCTCTTTGCCCTCATATTTTTGGCCCCTGGCCTGCCTGCTCAGCTTCTTTCCCTTGCTCCCAGGTCCTGAAGCAGCCCCGGGCTTCGGCACACTGCCTGCAGGTACCCCCTGAGTACCCGTCTGCATGCATGGAAATAGTCCTACCAGGATCTGATGGCATCTGTAAATATTTGCATTTTGTGAGGAAATACCCTGTTTAAACATAGGCTGATATTAATTCCATCTTCCTTGCTTTCCCCCACGTCCTTGAGCTCCGTTCACCAGCCCTGGCCCCTGAGACAGCTCTGCTGAAAGCAAATATGTCAGTCTGTGCTACACAGGGAATATTTTAAGGCTCTGAAAACAAAGTTTATTATAGCAAAGCTGCCAAAAGTGTAACCACTGCCATGCTAAAATATCCTCTGCCTCCTACATTTGTAACGTGGGAATCTTTTATATCCTCTTTTACTGCTGCTGAACCATACATTTGTATTGGCAACAGATGTATATAGGCTGGGACCTATTTCAGTGTCATGCAAAAGAGCTCTTAGGTTAGGAGATATATTACAGCTTACTGGAAAGCTTGAAATTAACTGTGTGATGATGCCACATGAAGATAAAGAACTAGCAATTTTATTGAGTTACGATTTTATCCATATGGGCTGAAGGTTTGAGCTGTGTTAACATCTCCAAAGGTCCCCATTTGCCAGATTAACTATTGAGTTTTTGGGCAACTAGTTTGAGATAGGAAAAAGAGATCTAATTTAACTGTTTCCAGACAGAAAAGCACTGCCTCCTTCTACACTGCATAGGAATAACCCAAACAGAAGGCAGCCAAACACAGCCCTCGCTGCAGCCCTCGCTGGGGCTCTCAGGCAGTGGCAGGAAAGACTCAGTCGGTCCCCACGAAGCTCTGCTGTGGTTGTCATTAATACCAAACCCATAAATGTCAGTAATTCAGTGGTCAAATTCCTCTGTGGTGCTGACAGACCTCTCACAGTCCATGGATTTAAGCAGCAGAGTCAAAGGTTTCCTCGGACGGCCCATGATTTCCTCAGATATCTGGCAGTGGCAGGCAAAGGGTTAATGATAGAAAAATATGTATAGGTTTAGGGGAATGACTATTTTTTTTAATATATGTTTTTTGCTTCACATCTTAGCTCTTGGCACCGCATCCCCTGCCTCTAATCACACCTTTTAACTGCAGTTTAAATCAAAACCCACAAGGCTGGACCAGTTGGATCCAGTCCCTATTAAGCCATTTGAGCTGTGACTGAGCAGACTTGCTATCACCAAGCCAGTCCCCTGCCTGTGCCTCCACATAATGAGGCTCCCGTGGCAGCCGCTGCTCCCCGCTCAGCGCAGGGGAATCCATGAAATACTGGATCAGGATATATCCCCCCCTCACTGGGCCCTCTCCTCTTCTCGCCCTCTCCCCAAGCAGCTGGATGGCAAAGCATGGCCAGTGGCTGCAACAGCACAGGAGGTGGCTCATGCCAGGCTGTGGAGCACACCTGAAAAGCTTTGGTCATTTAAGAGGTCCAGAAGAAAAAAAAAAAAAAATGTATTTCCAAGTAAAGTGAATTCCCCTTTTTGTTCCTCACTGTAATTTGCTTGATCATTAACCCCTTGAAGGTGCTGGCTGGTGGTTTTGCTGCTAAGGGCACTACACAGCCATGATCAGGTATGTGGCTGTTGTTAACAAAAGATGAGATCCCATCCTCTCCATGGGGCATTGCTTGTCCAACAGACCATGGGTTGGAGCCACAGCTGATAAAATTGCCTGGGTCCTGTTCTGCTCTCTGCTGATGTTAGTGAGGGAGCTGGTCTCCTGATTTTATAGCCTTAAAAAGAAAGTCACTGTTTATTCCTTAAACTAATGCACCCACTGATGCACACAGGAGCAATATGGAGGAAATGGTCTCAGACACAATCCCTGTTGCCTCTGTCCTGCCCATCACTGCTCCCTGGACCCCTGTGTACACAGGGCAGGACGATGGAGGGAAATGGTGCCTTGGCATCCAGAACTGCATCACTGGGTTCTGACTGAACTCCTTTTTGCAGCCATTTTGAGCACTGAATAAAGCAGGAAAAATAGCATGAACCATACAAATCCAAGCCAGCCTCTGAAGTCAGATGTGTTTAAAAGTGGAATTGCAGCTGTGATAGGGAAGGAGTGTACTCACTAGCATTTCCTGCTTTTTAAATCAGTCTTTTAAAAAGCACTGGTTTGGGTGGGAAGTTTGTTTGGGTAAAATTACTGAGGAGGGAATTGAAATTATTAATGAGATTTTTTTTCTCTCCCTTCATGTGTCACTGAACTGCACAAGATGGCCACAGACTCCAAACTGTGAATCCCTATTCCCGGACTCTGAGCTCCTGAGGTTGATTTTACCACTTCAATATAAGTGAAAATTATGTGGATTGGTGGCAGAAGCAAGTTATATGACGAGTGGAGAGGAATACATCTCCAGAGCCAGGTTTCTGCTTCAGACAAGGCTGCAGCAGGCGACGGCGCCCGGCTCTCCCGGCAGAGACGGCTACAATGAATAACCCAGGAGGCTCTGGTAAAAATTACTTGAGTTAATTAAATGAGCATCTGTGGCATGGCTATTTTCTCTGCATGCCCTGGCTCTTAAGTCCTCATCTCTGAGGGGAGAAAGTGTCATTGAACCAATTTATTGGCAGTGCTGGTTCTCCAAAGCAGAGGTGGTCACCCTTGGTGTCCCACTGTCTCTGAGATACCCACTGTAGGTACCTGAGCCTCAGCTGGGGCTGAGCACTGTTAGACCTTGTGACAACGTTTTCTAGATGCAGAGAACTGGGAGGAGGAAATATTCTGGGGAGTGCCTATGCTGATGCTTACAGAGGGATGGCATTGCCTTCCCTCCAGCTGCTGCAAGCCCAGTATGGGACATGGTGCTGGGTGGTATCTGCATGGGGAGGGCAGGCTGGGTGCATGGTGTGCTTCAAGACTCCTCAAAAATTATGCAAACCCAGATCTTCCCTTTCCTCTTGTTATATGCAGCAGGTCAGGTCCTGCTCTGGAAGTCACTGAGTTGTGGATCAGCCACGTAGCTGATGGAAGTGCTGCTGCTGGCCCGTGGAAGGGCTTTTGGGGTGGGTTTTACTTTTCAGCCAACCCATAAAGGAAAGAATAAGCTTTTATTTTCTTAGCCATCACTTTCTGCAGCCTGTGTCAAGCCAACAATGGCCGGGTGTTCCTCTGAGGCTGTAAAATAAGCTCATTCATCCTTTCTCTCTATCTGTTGTAGGGCAAACAAAAAAAAAAAGATAAATCCAGTGAGCTCCTGTTTGCTTTCCGAATGGAGCCTGTGGTGTGGCACCAGCAGCCAAGCACTGCTCTGGGTCAAACACGAAGGCAATGTGCTGTTTGTGTTCCCTCAGCCACATGGATGCAGACTGAGGGAGAAGGCAGGAATTGTCAGTGGCAGCCTCTTGTGGGCTCCTCCTCACCATGGGGAGCCTCCCTCCGGCTGCCTTTGCCGGAGCTCTGTAATTTCCAGCAGGATCATGTTCACCATGGGCCTTGCAGGGAACAAGGCTCGGGTTTCAGTCCGTGGCCACCTTCTCGAGTCAGGGCTGAATAAGTGCCTCATGCTGAGCACAAAGGGCCCTGGTGCTGCTGGAGATGCTGTTTTGGTGGTGGTGGTGGAAGCTCAACCTGCATCAGCGTGGGGATGGACAGGGGATGCTGTCACTTGGCACATAGTGGTGGTCTGTTGTGCAGCATTGAGATGCAGCAGGAGAGATGACAAAGTGACATCTGTGTCTTTGGAAAGAGAAGCAGTAAAAGGGTTACCTGGCTCCCTGAGAAGGGGCTTGGTGCAGGAGTTTGGATGCTATCCAAAAACTTCCTGCTGGTGACAGGAGACTAGAGGTGGCAAAATCTCCAGCATGGCTGTGGCACAAGGAATCCCACCTGGGGAGGGAGGAGGAAGACTCACAGGACTGGTTGAGGAGGGAAAGGAGTGGAACAGACATCCCTCTCATCCTTCCAGCAGGTTTATGACCTATTCTTTGGTGTGTTTTACTGGTCCAAAAGCAGAGCAGCCTTCTGTCCTGCTGAATTCCTCCCAAACTCTCCCATCACGGCATGACCAGTATGAATGCCAGCAGTTGGAAGACTGAAATAGCAGCTACCATTGCTTAGGCTCCACTGATTTGTCCTGTGGTTTTTCCGTGTCCTTTAATCTCCAGTAAATAATCCCTCACTTCCTTGTGGTCTTTCTAATTCCATGCTCTGTGCCGGTGCTTCCTGTAAACAGCAGAGCTGGTGGCCCTTGCGTGGCCACCGCCGTGTAATTGAGGCTCTCCCCTGCTGTGCAAAGGGCATGTGACAGGGCTGTTTGTCAGGCTGGATGTGGCTGTGTGTGGCTAAATAATGGAAACACCAGATTGTCCTTTCCATTGAGCCTGGAGAAGTCAGGGCTGGCTCTGACGAGGCCGTTGGATTAATACAGGTGTAAAACCAGCACAGTGAGAGCATCAGGTGCCGGCACCCAAGGAATTGCACCATCTGGCCTCCAGCAATCATGATTAGACCAGTGCTCAAAAGCAAAATTGGGCTGAATTAGAGGGAATGAGGTCCCTCCAGCACGTGTGCAATGGTGCTTGGTGTTTGGGGCAGGAGCCATGTCCTGAGCAGAAGCTGTGACAGGCCTTGCTCAGCCCTTCATTGTCACATCTCATCTAAAATTTTGAGTGGAGTTCTAAAATAAAAGAAAACTATGAGTGGCCTGTGCTGAATGAAGGCCCTTCTTCATTTGGGCTGCCCCACAGGCTTGATCTTTTGCACTCTTGTAGGTGAGAGGCCTCCAAGGGTGGTTTGGAAGGTGTTTTTCTGATCAAAATATCTTCAGCTGTTTTATGGTGGCAGGAGCTGCAAGATTTGTGTATGAGACACCCATCTTCAAGCCTAAGAGCATTTCTTTTCCCAGGTGAGTCTGTGTTGAACCAATGGTGGATCACGGAGGGTTGTGACGAGCTGGGCTGCACTTTTTGGGTGGCACAGCTTTTCCTCCTGTCTGAAATCTCTCTGGGTTTCTGTTTACTGGTGGATCCCTCCACAGATACCTGAGCAAACAACAAACCATTTTTGTAGGAATATCTTTGCTCCCAATGTACCTCAGACTCTCACCTGTGCTTGTCCTGGCCATCCTTGTGTGTGGGGTGTCTGTGCATGCCTGGCTGAAGATGACAGTGTGAGTTTGCTTGTGGGGGTGGTTGTGGACTCTGGTGCATGCAATCCTGCCAGCCCTGCCAATATTTGCAGCTTGAAACATTAACATTTAGGTATTTACAGGGCCAAGGGAGGGGTCCTATAACCAGACCCTTCGCACATGCTCTTTTCCAGAATAGCTGCTTCCAGAAATCTCCAGGTTTTGATCCTTTGGCCATTTCATGTAAGTCCCAATTTATTTATTTTCATTTCATAAGCTCCCCACAGCCAAGCAGAGACAGCTAAAGGAATCCTGCTCAATCTTCCAGCATTAACATCCGAGTTATCAGAGCTTCTTCCACAGGTGTGTGTGTTGGAACTCCTGGAAGTATTTTCAGAGCGAAGTGTAAGCAGGGAATCAGTTTGGAGTGGCATGGGAGGTGCTCAAAAAAATGCCATGAGGGAAATGAGAGCCTCTGTTTGTCTCATTTGATGCCACTTAACGTGTGACACCTTGTTTAAAATGGGGCTGTCAACAGCAAATATATAGTAGAGCTGAGGTTTTCCACCAATGCTAACGACCCAGGTGCTTGTATCCTAGGGAACTCCATGTATCCTGCAGCTGGCTGGAGTGATAAGACATGACCAGTGCCCATCCTGTTCTGTGTGCTCTGGTGTTGGCTCAAGAAACTCAGGAGGGCTGATGCAAGGAAGCAAGTGGGAAGTTTGGGTTTCTGGCTGTTCACACAGCTCCAGAATGACTGAATGCTGGCAGGAGAAACTCCAGAGCATCTCATGGAGATCAGATGGGGAAGATAATCTCCTCACCCCTTGGAAGACTGGGAATTGCTGGCTTTTTTCATTGCCACCTTTCCCTTGTGAAGTAGAAGCCACATTATCACCAGGCTGAGCAGTTTTGGCTAATGCAGAATTAGACTAAGGCAAAACTCCTACAAGCTGTTTGATGGTTCCCTGAGTCCTCTTGAAAGCATCACAAGTGTGGATGAAATTCTCCATTCTCTGTGTATTTTTGCCTGTGCTCATGGATCTGCCTGGCCTCAGGCTGACCATGTGCCTCCACCACTCCATTTTTTCTGACAATGGGAATGTGAGAAGCCTTGAGAGGGACAGAAAGGCTTTGCCCAGGGAGCAGTAGGAGCCCTCCAGACCTGAAGCAAATAATCGTTGCCTGGAACTGGTCCCTTTGGCTCCAGGCACTGCTGAATTTGCTGGTGGAGAAAACCACTGCCTTGGATCAAAGCACTGTTAAAGGAGACTTCACAAAAGTGAATGGCTAGTGGTCAAGAAGAGCTGCCAGACTCCTGCTTTCTCAGTAACTAATAAAAGTGCTTTTTAACACAATTAATGTGATGTCTTGCTAAAGACTGGAGGAAATTAGAATTGAGACATTTGTATTTTGACAGACTCTGTGGAAAACTTCTGTTCAGACTGGTAGGAATGAAACCAATAAATTTCTGAAGAAACTTTCTGAATTCAGCCTTCAAGATAATAGATAGGCTGTTCTGACTGTGGATAAATAAACTCTGTTTTTATAAGCGTTTAAAGACCTTCAGGATGACGAAGTGGAACATACTTCAAGTCTCCAAAGATGGGAAGTGGCTTCTGAGTCAAATGCCCTCCCGTGCCAGGGCTCGTATTTTAGACTGAGATCAGTCTTTTGTGACTTGTTGACAGGTTTTTTGTTGTACTTTGAAGAAAAAAAGGGAAAACGTCCCAGGCTGAAAATAGCAGTGAAACATTCCCCAACTGACCAACCTGTTCCTCAAGAAAACTTCCCAGGGAAAATAAACCTCCAGCTGCACCCCCAAAACTGCCGCCTAAGAAATGGCACATTGAGCAATGATTAGGGTAAAAAACCCTATTTTGGGTTACCACAGCCCCTGCCTGTGGTAATTGCTCCTCTCTTATCTTGTGTTGAAGGTCAGCACCTGCAGAAGGAAGATTTGGTTCCCACCAGGAAGTGCTTAGAGGGTGGACTCTCAAGGTGGGAAATGTGGGAGCAACTCCCTCCCTTTTTACTTCCCCCTCCTGTGAAGAACAACCCCCCCCTCCTTGCAATTCCTGCTCTCCCTGGCAGCAGCTACAGCCAGCCTAAAGAGAGGAGGTGAAAAGGCTGGATCAGAGCTCATGGCTTTCTGGAAAATCAGGGCAGGTCTCTGCATTTGTGCAAGGCCAGGGCTTAACTCTGCAAGTGAAACCAAACAGATGCAAGCCAGAGCCATGGGTGGCAAGCAGTGCAGAAGCCTTAGCACTGACCTTTGTTTGCTTTGCCCTCCTATGTATCCACAGGCTGATGGGAACTGTTGGAGGTGTTGGACAGAGGCCAGCAGGATATGCTTTATTGGAACTGAATATAAAGTCACGTTTCTGGAGGAAAAAAGAGGTGTGTCACATATGCAGGGTGGAGCCTAGACCAGGCTGATGGGCTCTGAATGTATGTGGGCCCCTGTAGTGGAAAGTGGCCAAAGGATGGTCCTGGCACAAGGGTGGGATGCTGGAGCAACGTGCCTTGGGATCCAACAGCAGTGCAATGGCCAAGTCACTGAGGCTCAGAGGCACGAGCACATTTCAAGGGCTGGCTCAAGGAACTCTGTTCCTTTGGTTTCTCAGAGAGAAAATGAAGGGAGAGCAGGTCAGGGCTTGTGAAGTACAAAGGTGATGGAAATGGGGGAGTAACGGGATTTAGGAGGCACAGTCTTATAAGATGGCTGGAAATGGGCACCCAATTAATTCAGCATTTATTACTTGAAAGTCATTAATCAGGGAACTAACTTAGCAAGGCTGGTAATGATCCTCCTCTTCTGAGAATGTTTTGATCAAGACTGATCCCTCCCTGCCAAAGAAGATGCTTTAATTGCTGTGAAAATGAGTTCAGGTCTGAGTTGCCCCAGGGATGAGCCTGGATGGCTGCAGCAACCCACCCTCTGCCTTCAAGGCTGGATTAGGGGAAGGCAGGTTGTCCTTGCCAAGGAGCCAAGGGGGAGCAGTGGAGGGTCTGGAGAAGGTGCTGAGGCTTTGACTCGTGCAGATTTCCCAGGAGCAGGCAGACACATCAGCATCCCTCCGGCTCAGCACAGGGGCCAGCCTGCACCTCTGCTGCTGCTTCAGCAGCCCCTCTTGGACTCTGACTGCTGGGGAAGGGGGGGGGGGGGGGGGGGGGGAGAAAAGGAGAGGTTTTTGCTATCAGGGGAAAAACGTTAATCTGCTTGCAGTGAACCAGCTCACACCCTGGCTGGCTGCAGGGAACGTGTTCTCCTGCCGCCAGAGACACCACAGTTGCTACAGCAACTGCAAAGCACTGAGACTCACCAACACTCTCACTCTGCCACCTTCCAACCCCCCAAAATAAGGCAGAGCAGAGAAAGTGACGGTGAGGAGGCAAAATAACTGGTAGGGGTGTCCCTCAGCAGTCATGACTGCTCCATGTTCTGTTCCCATCCCTCCACAGCAAGTGCTCAGGCACTGCTGCGTTCCCATCAGTCCTGACAAGCACTTGGTTTCCAGGTCAATATGATTCCATTCACTAGATCTGCATCCCAGGGATGGCCTGGCAGAGCATGCACTCATCCCAGCCTGCCCTCCACCCCAGGCACCCACCCTGTGGGGTCTGTGGGAGGCAAGGCTGGGTCAGACCCTCAGTGCTTGTTCAGTTGCTGGGGCCGGTGCAGGAGCTGTTGGGATGGGGATGCAGTGCTGGGGATGCACTGCTGGGGGTGCTGCAGGGAGCACCACAGCAAGGGGAGGATAAAGCCGAGCTGAGCTTTGCCAGCCTGCCATCTCATTACTATTTAAATGGGGCTCTGTGTGGTTCCCAGCACTGTGCCATCCTGCCTCCATAAAAGCTCATGGTTTCCCCTGGTGCCGCTCTCTTAAATATTTAATGACAGGAGGAAGAGCTGTTTTAAGAAACACTTCAGTGCTTGCATCTGAACAGGAGGTTTTTTCAGGTGGCCAGAGCAGACAAGAAAATTCTTTAGCTGTTAATTTTTCAGGATCCTTCAGCTGTTGAAGGGGTGGCAGCATGATGACACAGGCCAGGGGGCAAAGGAGAGATCTTTAAGGTGTCTGGAGAGAGTAAAGACTCCTGGGATCTGTCCTGGATCCTCTTCCTGACTTACATGTCAGAGTGGCTTGATTTCTTATATTGAAACACTTGAACAAGGCTAGTTTTGGAGCTTTAGTGAAAAATTCTTGAAGTTCACCTGCCCCTGATCTTAGCCGGGCACTCTGTCCTCCCCACCTGCCTCTGGATGGGTCAGTTTTGCTGAGTGCCAAGGATATTTGAAGGTAACCACTTGCCAGAGACTTCCTAAGGATTTATTTGGGTTCATGAAGCGGTTTGAAAAGCCTGGATAAAAGGCTGTGGAAGGAAATGTGCTTTAATCCCAGCCAAATCATAAATTAGGCCACCATTAACACAAATGACTGCTTGAGATGAGGCTCATATGAGAGGGGAGGGCTGTGCTTCTCCTTCACTGGCAGTCCTGTGTCCCAGTGCATCCAGTCCTACAGGGACCAGCTCAGTTATTGCTGACACTCAGGTGTCAGGGTATGGGGCGCCAGCAGAGCTAATGGAAGTGTTGCCACAGCCCATATTATCTTATTTTCCTGATAAAACTCCTTTCCCCACAGGGCAGCTGGTGTCAGGCCGAAATCAGTGGCCTTAGGCACCATTTCCAGAAGGGGTTGAGCACAAGCACTCTTTAAACCAGTAAGATGTCCCAGGCACAGCATATGTGGTGTCTGTGCCACACTGGTTCTTAATGGGAATTGTGAGCTCCACACCAAAGCTTTTTGCCAATCCCAGCCCCTTCACATGCAGCTGTGGTGCAGTTAGGTTTTCATTTGAATTAGCAAAAACAAGGGTGTCAGTCATTTCTCTGCACTGACTTTGTGAAAGGGCAGGTCAATAATTTATATCCTTAATATTTGAGGGCAGCATTTGTGGAACCTTCTATTGCTGTGACTCAGGATAAGAAGGAACCTTCCAAGAGAGACAGCCTGGCTGCAGTGAGCCCCTGGAAGGTGCATGGAGCACACCAAGAGGTGTTTGCATTAGTGGTTTTGATGGGGATAAGATTTCTTAATTAGCAAGACCTTCTGAAAAGATCCTGGTGCAAAACCACAGCTAAAATCAATCAGCAGACACGGATGAGTGGATTTCTGCTCATCTAAAGGCAGGAAAAGAAATAGTGCAAGATCTGCTTGGTGCTGCAGAGGGGAGGATTTCACTGCTGCTGAATGAAGCTTGCAGGATCTCTCCATCCTGGGAAAGGTGGCTGGAGCAGGCAATCTGGCCAAAGGGAAGCTGGGGGGTGCAGGGCAGCCCTTTTCTTTTCTTTTCTTTTTTTTTTTTTTTTTTTTTTTTTTTTTGAGGGTCATTAATTATCTCCCATCAGGGAAGCACTTTGAAGGTGAGATGTGCTACATGAGTGCTAAGGATTACAGGGTTTGTGTCTCTTGCCTCCAGGTCCCTGGGTTAGAGGGACTGGAGCTGAAGGCAAGGCTGGGAGCTCCACACTCTGCCTGCTGCTCTGCCTCTGCAGCACAGCCAGCCCTTTCCTAAAGGTTTGGAAAGGGTTTACGTGCAAACTCTTTCCAAAACCCCCAAATCACGCTGCCAGCCAGGGCTTTAGCCCTGCTCAGAGGGCACAGAACCTG